ACGTGCGTGCTATGCAGTTAGTTACCTGCCAGCTCTAACAGTTGTTTTTTGGCTTTGCGGCCTCTCCCTGCCGACACTTAAATTCTGACACTCCGGTAGAGTTAGATTCTAGCATATCATTTAATTGTACAGTGTTTTACTTCTGCTCAACGTTAAGTTAAACTGAACTGTTCTATTCATTTTTCACCACCGCGAATTGTGATCATCTTTAATACTAGAGCGAACACTTACATTTCTAATTCTGTTTTAAGTAAAAATATTTCTCAATACTTTGTTGTTTTCAGTCTTAGTAAAAATTCGCTTAACTTCTGTTAGGATTATAAGAAAAAAAAAAAAGAATTACCAGATCAAATGAAACCATAAAAGAGGCTCCCGATCAAATTACAGACCATCTTGCAAAGACAAGAGTCATTTAGTCTGCCCCCTTCCAAGACTGCAGCCTCTACCTACACCAGAAAGTCCAGTTAAAGGCTTCGATTTCATTTACGCACTATGCAAGCGTCGATGAAACTAGCAAGTATTTTCGATGGTAGAAGTTCAGTAGTAACATTTTTCGAACAATTAAAGACGCGCTTTTTACTTTACCTGGCTGCAGAATTACAGAAGGTACTTCAGAGAGAATTCAGAGATAACACTAAATTTCTTCATAACGAAATAGTCCTTTTCATATAAATAGCTTTCCCGCTATAATTTAAGAAAAAGGAGCACATTATGGCTAAGACTTCTTAATTTTTTTTACTTTTGTCAGAATCTGGTGAAACTATTGTTTTTGCCTTTAAAAAAAAATCTGATGTGTACACCACATGACTTCCTTGTACGGAATAATTAAATTATACGCATTTTTTCTTGCATTTTGTTTAAACTTATTGAATTGAATTAAATCTACTTCGCCGACAGTGCATAAACCACAATAGAATAAATGCATTCTTTAAAATTCACTCTAGTATTTGTTTACCATAGCGACACTTGGCGCTAGATTCACCTAACAGTATTATATTTTGTTCACATTATAACTCATAATGCACAAAATTTATATCATTTAAAGAATAGAATTATATAATCGTTGCCACATGTTCTATTCAAATACTATAATAAAGCTAGAATGATGTATAAAAGAAATTAAGCAAACAAAACAAAAAAGAAACAGTTTTTCACAGAAGATTGAGTATTTGACATTCAATTGATTCAGTTCTCACTTCGCGAGAAGGCAAAAATACATAAAAACTCAAAATATTTATATTAATAATTACGAAGTAAATTTCAAACGCTTATTTCCTCGAAAAAATTCCAGAAAGGATTAAACATGATATAATTGGCAATAATAAACGAAGGCATTATCTTTGTTGTTGCCAAGCTAAGTTTCTCTAGATTGGCAACAAATCCACTAGTCTGCTGTTTCAAATGTAAACAATCAATGGCCGCCATAAAAAAAGGGCTTAGCGGCACTTAAACAACTTTAAAATTGTTGATAATTCTAAAAATATTGCACACAGATTTACTGAAGGCATAAAAACCTTAACTGAAAGATAAAAACAACATAATTCAATCATTTTTAAAGCAAAAAATGTACAATTTACAAATATATAAGAGTAAAGAAACTGAGATCACTGAGCGGGGTAACAGTGTGTATATATATATAAATATATTTATATACGTTTGGTGCGGCCGATTGCAACCAAAATACGAGGTGCACATCTACATGTTATAGCAGTCCTATATACAAAATTTCAACGTTCTGAGGCTACTCGTTTTTGAATTATGCGAGATACGTACGTACATACGTTCGTACAGACGCCACGAAAAATTCTCTTCAGAATTCGTTTTAAAGCAGTTTTATGATTTTTTTGGAGGAAACGAGTCTTTTATTCTGCCCTTACGTACAGATATCACGCAAAAACATCGTTAAATTGCATTCGATAACGGTCAAAATGGATATGTTCGTTGAAATATGCTGCCTGAAACTTTTCGCGATTACAATACTTCCTTTTTACTTCGTACAAGGAAGTAAAAGAAAAATCCGTATTGTAAATGATTGTAGTATAACTCTTATTTTAAATTATACTTTACACAACTTGAATTTGATTAAAAAATAATATTTTGCGCTTTAAATTCCAACGAAGGCTTGTAATGAGCATTTACTTTATACAGGGTGGCTTAACAAATCCAAAACCAAAGCAAGTTAAGAACACGGGAATCGTAAGGCAATATTATATCGGTTGGAACAAATCAAACCGGACACAGCAGACTTCACTTGTTTTGTGTTCGATTTATCAAACAGTTTAAAATAACAGCTATTATGTATAATTAATATAAACAGATATTTTATCTAATTTTTGATATATTTACCTGAATTTTAATCGCCCAAATTTGAATGTACTTCTTTTATGTGTAACTATGCACCATCTGTTTACATTAATATCCCTTTCCATTTCAGTCGTATTATTGAACTAACTATTTATAGCAGAAAGAATTGAATTATTTAGATTACGAAGAACAAACAACACGTGGGCTATCTATCTGAGGGTAAGGGTGCCTTCGTAAATTTTTATACTAGATTAATTTGAACGAGCAAAAAATCACTTTAATTGAAAATATTTTGCAAACACAGGGTGATCTGCAAATAAGCCCTGATTTCAAAATTAAATATCTCTACAACAAAGATCGATAGAATTATGAGGTAAACTGTACGTTTATTAGCAAAACTGTAAAAATGGTGTACAAAAGTTTAGAAAATTTAGTTGCGAAAATCGTTAACAGATGGCGCTCTAATTGCAACAGTCTGTAGAAAGTGAAATAATGTATTCCATTGAACAACGTGTTTTTTTTTTTTTTTTTTTGGTCTGGAATTTCACCGATTAGAACACAGTCCTACGGCAACATGTCGTAGTTCTCAAAACCGATTCAATGTTCCAGTTGGACCCGATGCGAAAACCATTCGCATGCTCTTCGCGAAATTTGAACGGACTGGCAGCGTGGCTGATGATCGAAAAGGAAATGTTGGTCCTAGGCAAACTGTAGTCACTCCTGAAAATGCAGCCAGAGTTTCTGGAATTGTTCAGCAAAATCTTTAGGAAAAGCATCCGACAGATTGCATCAGAGACAGGTTTGAAGTACACGAGCATGCAAAAAATATTAAAAAATAGCCTACGGCTGTTTCCATACAAAATCCAAAGTCATCAGGCCACACCCATGAAAGCTGTGCAACAAAGGGTTGACTTTGCGAATCAAATTCTAACAATGGTCGACAACGACAGATTTGATGTGAGCTGCATCTGGTTCACAGATGAAGCACATTTTCATTTGAATGGAATCGTTAATAAACAAAACTGGAGATTTGGGGGTTCCGAAAATCCTCATTTGCGTGAAGAGAAAGCACTGCATTCGCCTAAAGTTACTGCATGGGCTGCAGTATGCGCCAGAGGCATTATCGGACCCTTTTTCGTACGAGAAACGATAACTACTGAACATTACGTTACGATTTTGGAACAATTAGTCAGCACCCAACTAGCGTTGGAGGATCGACCAGGTATCGACTGGTCATGCAAGATGGGGCTCGACCACATCGAACAGATAAAGTTTTTATCTTTCTTCATGAATACTTTGGAAATGGAGTAATGGCGTTAGATTATTCGCAATTTACTGACACAGGAATAGCTTGGCCTCCATATTCTCCCGATCTGAATCCTTGTGACTTCTTTCTGTGGGGCGTATTGAAAGACACTGTCTATCGAAACAATCCCGCTACTCTAGACGAGCTTGAATCGTTGATTGGTGCTGCATTTGATTCCATTTCCGTTGAGACATTGGAAGACGTGATGTCAAACTTCATTGTTCGTTTACGCCACCTCATTGTTTCGAACGGTGAACATTTTGAAAAAAATTGTATTTTGATTGCAAAGGCTGCTTCACTTTATTTTATTCATTTTTTTCTACTCCTTTCAGAGAAAAAGATTGTTGTAGAGATATTTAATTTTGAAATCAGGGCTTATTCGCTGATCACCCTGTATGATCAGCACAGTTTATGGAAATACGTTGAAAAGAACGCTAAGGTAAACAAATGTTAGATATAATTCTTATAGGAATATAAAATTGCTCAAAATTTCTAATCCTCAAGAAATGTCCAGTTCCTAAGACGGCGTAAGAGTAAATATATCAAAAATTAGTTAATTTGCAATAAAAGTTTGTGTATGATTACATTATGTGACTTTATTTGCAATAAAAGTTTGTGTATGATTACATTATGTGACTTTATTTGCAATAAAAGTTTGTGTATGTTTAAAACAGGATTAAAGCTTTCGTACTCTAATAATCACATATGCGTTTATTATTTCCACATATAATTTCCACCTTTATTATTACACGTATTCCGTTGCTACTATGATTGTACAGAACATTTTATAGCTCTTTTTAATCTTATAAAAATGCCGTGTAGACGTATGAAATGTGTAATTTTAATGGTGTAACATTTGTTCTTGCTCCCACAAGGTGTATTTAGTTTAATTTAAAATGTTCCTTGAAATTCATTTTTTCATGATTTTTTTTTTCTGATTGATAAAGTAGGACTACTAAAATATAGAGAAATAATCAGTTTTGATAAACTAAGTATATTACATTATGTCAAGTGCTAATTAAAAATCAAATCTTAAGAAAAAGCGGGATTATTTGACGTTAATTTTTGTCAAAATTTAGAAACTTGTGTGTGATTATGGCAAAGCCTCGAGGGCTATCTGCCTAAGAGGAGGGATGCCTTCGTGGAGGACTTTCTAAGGGAAACTGGCTTGTATACACGTTACACATGGTGAAAACCACGAAAACGCCCTTGCAGCCAGTCCGTTCGCGGGATTCGAACCTCGGACCGAACTACCAGTGTTCAGCGACTTTACCGCTCAGCCGCTGGTGGGCCCCCAAAATTTAGAAACATGTTCATTCTATGAGGCGAGAAATGAATCCAAATTACTGAATATAAGCTATTTTATTGATAGAATTTTTATTCTTTTTAGAAAAGAAGAATGCTTATCTCTTCATATTTTAAAATCTAAGAACGAAGTTTGGCATTACGTTCAAAGCTCTTGTTCAGCACGCTATCCATATATCTGCTGCACAGCGGGACTAGGTATGGAATTAACAATTTATTCAGATAATTATTTTTCAATTTTGGATGATTATTTCTTTTGCTGAAATATTAAATATAGATCTGTGTTTTGTCATAATTTTTGACAACATTCTAAGTACAAATTATATAATATATTTTAAAAGTAGGCAAAATGCAACCATAGATCAGAGAAGATTTTCGGAATTCCGTTTCTAGAAATTTGATGAATTGCATTATTGTAGCAACAAAAAACATTCTACACCGTTCTTAGTTTCATCGTAATAAAAATTACAAAATAGTAAACCTTTATGACAACTTTTATAAAATCTACAGGATTAATGAAAAGAGTTAGTTTTGCTCGCAATTGTAAAATATCTGAAAAAACTGTTTGGAAACTTCTGCACTTTCAAAAGGCAACAGAAACAATCATTTTTCTTCTTACAGCTATATTTGGTCAGCGTGAAAATATTTGATTAAGCCAGAAATCGGTATTTTTTTATCAGTAAAGAGTAAAGCGTAAAGTGCTTGTATTTGGAATTCCTATCTGCCTTATCTAAAAGAAGAGTAGTTTTTAAAAAGATTTGTAACCAAAGGTATTTTTTCTACGTTTTGGAACCGATATTTTAATTGACAATTCCATAAGAGACCATTTTCTTATGAGTTATATGATTGTTTTAAATGGTAATAAATGGCCAATATTCTGATCAATTTAGGAAAAGATATGAGAATTTTTCAGCATCAGATTAAATCAGATTTAAAATTTTTCAGCATCAGATTTTCAGCTTTTCGTCGCATCATCAACCTTGATACTAAGTAGATTTGTAGGAAATTTGAATTGATGAAATCAATAATGATTTGAAAAGTTATCTTTACTTACCGTATTTGCCGGCGTTTAAGATGCACCGGCCTATAAGACGCACCATCTTTTTTATGCACATTTTTGAAGGATAAAACGTTATTACTGATCATTATAAGGAATTTACAATATTTTAAATGTAAAGTAATACAAATACAAAGTAATACTTTCTGCAAATACCCAGTCTATCTGGGAACTCCTTTTAATCTTCTTCGTCAAAACTGAGACACTTATCTCCAGAGCTGAATGAAGAGACGTATAAGACGTACCCCGTTTTTCAGACCTATTTTCAAAGGAAAAAATTGCGTTTTATACGCCGGCAAATATAGTACTTTATTTTATCCACTTTTAAAAATTAATACATTATAATATGAGTTTACAATATACACTCATGTCCATAAATTAAGAATAATGCAAAATCAGGCAAAGTAAGAGTTAGAAGCAAAACAAATTTGGCTTATTTGTAAAGCTTATTTATTAAACAAAAGGTAAAAAGCAAAAAAAGATGTTATATGTTTGATATTATTAAAAAAATTATCGATTTTTTCTCCCTGGAGCAAATTACAAAAAAAAAAAAAAAAAAAAAAAAAAAATACTTACAAAAAGCCAATATTACACGGTTGGTATGATTGTTAATACATTGTATGTCTCCTAGACGATGCAATACAGTCCGTACAACGCCTAGGCATGCTGAGTATCAAATTATCGATCTGATCTTGGGGGATATTACACCGCTCAAAAAGCAATGCTCTCCGAAGTTCCGGTAGACATGTAGGAGGAGGTTGACGGGCTGCAACTCGTCGGCCAAGCATGTCCCACACGTGCTCTACTGGATTCAAGTCCGGTGAGAATGCTGGCCGGTCCATACGGGTGATATCCTCCGATTGAAGGCATTCGCTTACGATATTTGCACGGTGAGGACGGGCGTTGTCATCCATAAACACAAATTGTGCGCCCATGACGCCCCGAAACAAACGTACATGTTGTTCCAGAATGACGTCCCGATAGATTTGGTTCGATTGTCATGGTTCCAATTTGAACATGCAGGTCAGTTCTGCAACCCAGAATAATTCCACCCCAAACGAGCACTCCTGCACCACCGTAACGGTGTCGTTAAATGATGTTTTCTTGGTGGTAACGGGTACCTGGAGCTCACCATATGAAAGTCCGGCGAGAATCAGACTGCAAGCTAAACCTGGACTCGTCGGACATCACACACTCGGACTCGGAAAACATCACACAAGCCCGCTACTGCGGTGTCCACAATGCATGCTCTCTACTCCAGGCTAACCGCAGGCGACAGTGAGTTGCAGTAAGTGGAACGCATCTGACAGGTCTACCAGCATACAGACCAATCTGCCCGAAGCGTCTGTACACAGTCTGCCTTGAAATTGTCGTACCAGTGGCTGAAGAGAGCTGACGAGACAGGTCTGAGGCTGTGCTCCGCCTGTTTCTTTTGGCAGTAACTGCCAAATACCGGTCCACATTCGGTGTTGTAACTCTGGGGCGACCTGTGTGCTGTAACGTCTACTCACATTACCATCATCTTGGAATCGTTGAAAAAGCCTGGAGATGACACTCTGGGCAATTCCAAGTTCGTCTGATACTTCCAGTTGAGCACGCCCACATTCCAGACGGCCGATAATTCTACCACGTAAAAAATCATCCAAATGCGTCCTTTGTGTCATAACTATTCGATTATTGCACTGAAATGCTTATAAAGCGCCTGCGAACAATTTTACTTCTTTGCCTGTATTCCTTATATATCACTCTCTTACACTCTCGTCATTGTGACGTACCATCGGTGTCATCTGGTTACTTCCTGAAATTTGCATATGATTCTTGAAGATGTGTGTAGTGATTTTACAACAGGTGATATTTTTATTTTAGAGTTCAGTTTCCGCGTGACTCCGAATTATCCTTAATTTATGGACATGCGTGTACTTGGTGTAATATAACTTGTTTATCCCTTAAAGCAAAACATTAAATTCTTCAATTTCTAAAAGAATGTTTTTAAGTTATTGTTTTCAGTAATTGCTATTTTATTAATCTCTTATGTATAAGTATACAATAGTTTGTAAAAGGTTTCTGTTTCTGGATATCGAAAATCTGTTAATTATTTCATTACAAAAGAGAAAATATTTACGGAAAGATTCAGAAACAAATTTCCGCGTACGTTTTTACCCCAAAACTTTTCTCTATTCAGATAATGAATAACATTCACTACAATTAGTAACTTTTCATGATGAATGGAACTAAACAAAAATTGGAATTGAATAACAGGTCAAGTAACAAAATAGAGTAAGCGAGCATTATTTTATATAATAATAAATTTAATTACCTCTATTTCCTGATTAAAGTTGATAAGACGATAGGGAGAACCATTTATGGTCTTAAGGGAATCAATTTACAAAAATAAAAATTGCTTTATTAAACATTTCCTTTACTATAAACTGTTTAAGCTGTTCAAAATTTTGTGTTAATACTTTCTCATTAATTTTTAGGTAGACATAATTTTCTATTCTATTGTCCATGTCCTGTACTAGCCATGTCAATACTTCTCACTGAATTGTGTATCGAAATTTTTTAATTCTCAACAACTTTGCCACTTTCGTCATTATTGGTAGTGGTATTTTCTGGATTAATAGAAATTTTCGTATCCTTTGATTGATGATTATAGCATTATCACAGTAGAAACTTCGCTTACATCATCTTCATTTATTATCAGTTCTTCACAATTTTTCACAATTCCATCAGTTGAGAGAATTTTACCTTTTGTTTTTAATATCCGAAAACCTTCGTTAGTGGCTATCATCATCATCATCATCATGAAATGTGGTAGCTGACTAAAAGTTACGCTTAGCACTTTTTAAAATTATCTGCAGGTATATCTTCCCATTGGCTATTAATGGCTATTGTAACGTCGCTGGATTCTCGTAATGGAAATCATTAAGACAAGTTTTCTTTTTATATTTGTTTTAAAGCAGGTGAATTCTAGGTCATAACAAGGTTTGAATTAGTATACAAAAGCAATATTGCAGTAATATTTTTTTAATAAGGGAAAGATAAACCTTCCCGGACGCGTAATGGCAAACCGCACATTGAGTTAAACAGTGTTAAACGAATGTCGCATACTGCGCATGCTCAGAAAAGAATTCGGCGTAATAACTATGTTGGCGCGATTTGAAAAGAAGATAAATACGGTATATGTACGTACCGCCATCTGATTGTAAACAAATCTGGCGTTTAAAACTTCGTAAAGTATAATGTAAATGTAAATTAATTACTGTGTTAAAATACTATTTTTTGCTGTACTGCTCAAACAACTAGAAAGCTGAAATTATTGCGAAGTTATGTGAAGCAGTGTTTGCATTCAAAATGTAAGATATAATACTTATGAAATTCTGCACATTCCTTTGGAACTGTACAAATTTTCTTTCAGAAAAAGACTGAAATTTAGGATATATTAGTTGAAAATTTATTCATTATATTTAAGCAATAAAACAATTCAGGATTTACCATACGTTCCATTCGTACATACATAAAGAAACACTGAGGAATATAACAAGTGCTTGCAAATAACACTGAAGAAATTTTACAATTCCTTAATGCTAGTTATTAAATTCTTTGAAATGAGAAAATAAAAGCGCGAATATACGCTAACAAACTAAGCGAGATACTCCAGTTTACAATTATTGAATTGTAACATGTAAACAAATTACATCTAAGTAACGAATTATTACGAACATATGTTAACAAATATTAAATGCACTGTTATTGACAAATTAAAATGAAACATATATTAGAAAAAGAAGCAAGTGCAATCGGTATGGACGTTAAAATAACTAATTAGCAAAGTTCCACAACATTGCAATTGTAAACATCACTCGAACACACTCGACAGCCATGGAGATCACGAATAAGCTAGCGTAGGGTTGCTTAGTCGCCAATATTTCTCCCCGCGCCAAAGGTACACCATCAAGCATGCGCCGTAAGCGAAATTCGCTTAACACTGTTCAACTCAATGTGCGGTCTGCCATTACGCTTCCCGGACACAAGACGTATCCACTTTATTTTTAAGTTTATTGCCAGTTGTGAAAATTATACCATACATACAACATATTTTAAAAATCATAAATGGCATGATCAGTTACGCAATTATAAATACAGTTCCTTGCTAAAATGGCTGCACTTGGAGATGGGACCGATAAATTTGATATCCAAGATTCAAGAAATAAAACCATTGCTGAAATGGAAAACTGGATATATACAGAATTGAATTTTTGCTGAGAGTCGTCTAATAAGAAAAAAAGGGTTAATGAAAAATACAAAGTTAACCTAGAAGATGAATATTATAAATAATGTTGATATAAATCAGGTACTGACTAATCATGGGCGTTTCTCGGCTTTTTTTAATAGGTTCCATCTACAGCAGGGATGTCAAACTCATAGGTACACTTGGGCCAAACAAACAAGGTTTAACTTAAGGTGGGCCGGAAAAAAAAATCAATATTCATAGGGAAAAAAAATCAATATTCATAGAAACGTAGATTTATTTTGAATAATACAATAATAAACATATATATATATTTACATAGAAAAGAACAAGAAAAATTTAATGTTTACGTCCTAATACTTGACATCTCTTCTCTGCTATTATCTTTCCTATTTCGGGAGAAATTTTGTTTGCAGTGATAACTTTCAACGCTGACCCAAGGTGAGCATCATTAATACGGTTTCTAATAGGAGACTTATTACCTTTCATGACTGAAAATAACTGCTCGCACCGATAAGTGTTACCAAACATGGAAATAATTTCATATGCGAATTTTCGAGTATTTTCAAACCTGGCTGGTAAATATTTGTAAAATTCAGGCACGCCCACTTCAATGAATTTTGCTTTCAAATTTCAGTTGCATTGAATCTCGATCACCTCTATTTGCATATGGCTGGGTACTGAGTCAATACTTATTGAGAAAATAGAAGAAAAAAAAAATGTCTTCGAGGGAACTAAAATCATTAAACCTCGTTTCAAATTCAGTTGTTAAATTTGCAATTTTTTCTGCGTATTTTCGATACGAACAAGTATCATCTAAACTTGATTTATTCATGCTGCACGTCGGGAAATGCGTCAAATCTTCATTTTTAAGTTGTTTTTCCCAAAGAACTAGTTGACATTTGAATGCTTTAATTATGTCAAACATGTTCGTAATGATATGATCTTTTCCTTGTAACGATAAATTTAAACCGGTTGAGTGTTTGGTTATATCAACCAAGAAAGATAAATCTTGTATCCATATTGGATCGTAAAACAAACTTACATCTTGATTTTTCGTTTTTAAAAACTGACATATTTCTTCTTAAAAAACCCAGAATTGTTTGAGAATCTTGGAGCAAGATGACCAACGTACCTCGGTATAGTAGGACAAACCCGAATATTCACTATCTAACTCACTTAAGAAAGCAGTGAATTGACGCTGATTTAAACCTCGAGATCTTATAAAATTTATAACTTTTTTTATATATGATATGTTATTTTATTATTACATATTATTATTTGCCGATATATTGGCCGGGACGCAAAAATATTTGTTGTGGACCGCGAGTTTGACATCCTTGATCTACAGAATAATGATAAAGGATGATGTGACAAGTTTGGGATGCCAGGCACTTCGTCGATGAATGTACGCTTACCCAGAGTGCAAGAGATAAATATGGAAAGAATTTTAAGGAAGATTTTAAAAGAAACTATTCAAATTTGAAAGATTTTGCAAAGAAAATAATGAAAATTATAAGTGTGAATAGATAGGCTTAGAATTCGGCACTAAGATTTTGGACTTTTTTTTTTTTCTTACATTTGTTTTTCTGGCAAGTCTCATTTTTTGATAGTACGGCCGGCTAGGAGGATCGGGGCTGTGCCCTTATAATGATAATGATAATGTAATAGAACAAAACATATGTAATTTTCTTCAATTTTTAGTAGCAGGCGATAATTACTAAAAATGAACTACAAGTTTATTTGTTGCCAAAAAGAAGAAAAAATGACTTTTCTTTGAAGTAGGCGATGATTACTAAAAATAAAGTACAGTGTCTCACAAAAGTGATGGGACACTTGTGCTTTACAAAAGGAAACTATGGTAAAATAAGTTAAAAAAACATGTAAAAATTTTTTGTGGGTGTGTTTCATACTTAAATTTAGTAACAATTATTACATCAAATACATTTTCTCAAAATATTAAAATATTAATTTAATAAAAAATACAGTTGTTTAGAACGGAGCAAAAAATGGCTCAAATAAGTGATGGGACACTTACTTTTCCATCAAATATTTATCCAAAAAATTTTACTTTTTAAAAGGTTTTAATATTTTGTTGGATTTCCTTTCACTTTAAAAACATGATTTAATCTTCTTGGGATGGATTTGACTAATTTTTTTGTGATTTCTGGAGTGCTTTTATCCCATTCTTCTTGAAGCACCGATTTTAATTGTTGTTTTGAAAAAATGGTGTGTTTGCGAATTCTTGATTCCAATTCTTGCCAAATATTCTTGTATGGGATTTAAGTCTGGAGATTGTGGTAGTGTTTTTATTATTTCAGGACATTTATACAGCAGCCAGGGTCTAACGTTCAAAGCAGTGTGCTTGGGGTCATTGTCCTGGTAGAATTTAAAATCGTTATGAAGGTTCAATTTTCGTGCTGAAGATTTCAAATTTTGATTTAAAATGCCAATATACTTGTAATTATCCATTATACTGTCAATAAAAAGAAGATTACCAACTCCAGCGGACGACATACACCCCCATACCATAACTCCTCCTCCAGCATGTTTTACTGTTGGCACGAAGTTCTGTTTGCGAAATTCTTCCCAGGGTTTTCTCCACACCAAGATTCTACCGTCAGAATCAAAATATATTTAATTTACTCTCATCAACAGATATAACTTTATTCCAGTAATCAGAATTCTTATTTATGTTGGATTTTGCGAAAGCCAGTCGGAGTTTTCTTTCGTTTCACTTACGAAGAATTTTTTCCTGGCTGCTCTACCGTGATATCCAATAGATGGAATTACTCTTCTATTAGTCTCAGGATTAACAATTACTCCATATAATTCTTGTAAATCAGCAGCAACTTTAGGAGCACTCATTCTTGGATTTTTTTTAATATTTCGAACAATAATTCGCTTTATTCCATTGGATAACTTTTGATGGTCGGCCAGGTCTTTTTTTATCCTGAATCATATGATTCTTTTTATATCGTTTAATGATATTGTAAACTGTTGAATGACTCGAGTTAACTGTTTCAGGAGTTTCTCTAATAGATTTTCCACGTTCAATATGCAAATTAATAACTAATTTCGAACTTCAGGCAAAGTTTCTTTTTTCTTTTCGTTTAGCATTCATGGCTGCACAGAGCTAAAAAAATACAAAAATTCCAAAACAAACTGGAGAGAAATACTGCAGACGATTTTATAAATTATTGCCAATTGCTTTTGAGTAAAAATAAAAAACCCCAAAAATATTTTTATTGTATTACGTAGTAGTATCTAATGGTGTCCCATCACTTATATGAGCCATTTTTTGCTCCGTTCTAAACAATTGTATTTTTATTAAATCAATATTTTAATATTTTGAGAAAATGTATGCTATGTAATAATTGTTACTAAATTTAAGTATGAAACACACACACAAAAAATTTTTACATGTTTTTTAATTTATTTTATTACAGTTTCCTTTTGTAAAGCACAAGTGTCTCATCACTTTTGTGAGACACTGTATAAATTCATTTGTTGCTAAACAGGAGAAGAAATGATTTCCTCTAAATCATAACCTTACTGTGAAGCTTTTCTATTTATATTAGGTTTTACTAAGTGAATAAATCATCGAATTATAAACTGGTTTTGTAGTTTTATGGGCAATATAATTTAACTAGACATAACGAGACACTACCAAAAACAATTCTTATTTTTACTTTTTTCTTACTCACAAACATACAGACATCGGAAGGATAATGCATATATGCTGTCTAGCTATAAGAATTCACTTGCAGAACTCTTTTATCAAATACGTATTTCAGACTTCGCACTCTATTAAGCACTTTAAGGCAACAGACGGTCATCTGCAGAAATATAGAAACGAAGATCAGAACATAGCGTGCGAATAGGTCTTAAGCATTTAAAATGGAGAAGCTAGTCCCCTTCTAGACATGTCTTAGACATTTTTCGAGAAATATTTACCGCATTTATAAATGTCTAAAACATTTCTCATGGAAAGTCTGTGGACGTTTTAAGCACTTAGATTTAATTATTGAATAAATCCTTGATGATATTTTGGCTTCATAAATCGTATTGACCCTGTAATTTAATTTATAATTAGGAAGTACTTAAAAAGTCCTTATAATTCTATTTCATCAATTTCCCTCGAAAAGTTATGCTTAAAAGTTTTTTGTATTCATGTTAAAGTTTTCTAAAAGTTATTTTTTTAAAATTCTTTCAAAAACCACTTCTCACGAATAATATTTTTCAGAACAGCCAAACACAACGACAACGACGATGCAGACTACTATGCTGATGACAACTGAATCCTCCTCTGTGGCCAACAATCTTACCTCTGTAAATTTGCTACCTACCACTACTCCAAATCCTTACACTTGCAAGAAAGTTCTGAGAAGAAGAATCATATGGCCGGAAACCGCAATCGGGGAAATTTCTGTTCAACCTTGTCCGGGAAGATCCGTAGGTTGGTCTCTTGCTAATTTCGAGAGCTTTGATATTCTTATGAACAAAAGCAGACTTTCAAATAAGATTTCGTGTTACAAATAAGGTATTTTGTACAGGTAGATGTTACGCAGTGCGTTAACACAAGTATACCTTACTTCGGTGTCATTTTATTGTGTTCCTCAGTTACTGTGCATTTTTACAAAATAGAGCTATAATGCAGTCCTTTATAGATCCAGTCATTTATCGATATCGCAGTATATCGAAGTCTTTTATCGATTATATAAGGAAGAGTAGAAATATCTCTATATTTCAGATAATAAAAAATATTCAGATAGATATAAAAATAAGTACAGAGTCATATTCACTGAAGTTTGCCATATATTTTCCACTTAATGTACACATTACTGTTTTATGTTCTGATGATCATACTATGTAAATAGCGACTTTTGCTTTTTTAATCTTCTACTCAAATCATTAAAGGGACGCTGCATCGCATCTAGCTGTACATATGAAATTTTATATAGTATTTCAGATCTTTTGTGTTTCTAAGCTGTTTTCACAAGAATGGGAAAACAGTTTAGCTTTAAACTATCAGGAAATAATCATACATTGAGAGATTAAGGGGAACTCACCAATGAAACATCACCACCTCTAGAACCAAGCATGACCAGAAATATTTCACCCCTAACTAGCCTAGACACGTGTCCATCACGGGCCATTAAACCTTCTCGTTGGGACCATATTGCTGTTGTTGTGATCAGTGTTCAGTATGAGGTTTGAAAAACGCATGTGTGCGATGTTATCGTCATGGGATGATTTGTAGGCTCTTTATTTTTTACCACGATATTATCGACTACGATGCTTTTAACCGGTGAACCTGTGAAGTTTTTGAACCGCTTTATTTTTGTCTACAATATTTTTACCACGTTGTTTTAGAGCTGCGATGTTTTCTCTTTGCTTTCTTTTCTTCCACGATGTTTTGTACCGCCGCCTTTTCGCTTTGCGTTGTTTTCTCCGCGACGTTTGCGGCTGTAACCAGCGTTCTCATGAATGCTTGTCGAATTTTGTGGTGAGTGCACTGTTCATGTTTGCCCTGGTGACAAGTTTTAGTCCTGGTCGTGTACTGGAATGATTCACTTTATAATGTAGTTGTCTTGAAGCATGGAACACATCCGTGTTGTGGAAGGAAAAAGTATTGAAAACTTCGATGCGTTTGCAAAACATTCTTGAAGTGCTATTTCGCCTTGTAAGTGGAATGTTGAGTTGTCCACTAAGGATGTAGCAGTACAATTTAGTGTCCTTGTACCGAGTCTACTACTTGAGAATAACTAAACTTGAGAATGTTTGGTGTTTTATATTTACAGTATTAAAATATAGAGCTGCCTAACTTTTTATCGGACTAAAATGCATTTTTATACTATAAATAATCATTTGAAAATAAAAAGGACGGAAATTTAAAAATCACAGCCAAATGCGTCAGTCGAAAATTAGAATTCACTGTAAAGGAGGGCGGGAAAAAATGATCATGTTTACCCACATGATCATTTTTTTAATACGAGCTACTTTTACTTAGAAAATCTTACAGGTTGGTATATTTTCCCATCTTCGAATGCTCCTAATGCATTTTGTCAGAATCAAATAAACTTCTTCAGTCTGCATGTAAATATTCGTCTTAAAGCAAGTAACTATTAAAAGTTTTAATATAATAAATTACCTCTTTATTTACAGTTTTATTCTCTTTTCCAATGTTTTTTAGTGCAGTGATAAGTAGATAAAATGTTTTTCTGTTTTCTGTCCTTACACTAGTACTACTTGCAATGAACAAAGAAAGTGTTTGGTTAATTGAGTTGCTTAATTATTAGTTATCTGTCAGTTAGCTGGTTGGACTGTTAACTGCTTAGTTATACACTGACAACCAATAAGTATTTGGACACCTATGCAGATGACGATATCTGAGGTCCTAAAGTACGTCACGGACTCCGCCGGTATATATATCGTGTAGGAAACAGCATCGGCTTTAGTCGCATGCAAGATGCCTCGCAGTTCGGAGCTCTCTGATTTCGAGAAAGGTATAATTATCGGGTATCACAAATGTGGCCGATCCTTAAGGGACATATCTAGCGCTCTGAAGTACCCAAAATCTACAGTGGCCTATGTGATTAAGAAGTGGAAGGTGAGCAGTGATTGTCGGAATGTGCCCCGAGTCGGCAGACCAACGAAACTGGGAGATAGAGACCGACGAGTGCTGTCCAGAGAAATTCGGATGAACCGCACCCAACCGATGGCCCTCATCCGCGAGGAGTTTCAACAGGTATCCGGGAGTATTGTTTCAAAGAATAGCATCCGTAAGGAAGAACATCTGCTTGGTGTTCATGGTCGTGCTGCTGCCCATAAGTCTTTGATCACAAAGCCCAACCCGCGCTGCTTGGTTAATGTGGTGCAAAGCACATCGAAATAGAACCGTAGTCAGTGGAAACGGGTTCTTTGGAGTGACGAATCAAGGTTCACCCTTTACCGTTCGGATCTGGGTCTGGCGTCTACCTGGAGAACGTCTCCTGCAATGCATTGTGCCAACAGTCAAGTTCGGCGGAGGTGGAATTATGGTCTGGGGATGTTTCTCCTGGTATGGGCTGGGACCCTTGGTCCCCATTCATGGTAAGCTCAACTCCGATGCCTACTGCACTATTTTGGATGACAATGTGCTTCCTACGTTGTGGCAGTTTTACGGGTTGGACCCCTGTTAGTTTCAGGACGACAATGCCAGTTGCCATGTTTCGACGTTAACCAAGACTTGGTATGGTGCCAATGGAGTTCATCGAATGGACTGGCTTGCCCAGAGTCCAGACCTGAACCCTATCGAGAACCTCTGGGAGGAGTTGCATCGCCGAATTCAGGGGTGCACTACCTATGCAAAATCGGTGAAGGAACTTCTATGTCTTCTCCAAGCCGAGTGGAAGAAAATACCACTAGCTGTCATACAAAGACTTGTGGGAAGTATGCCCCGGAGGGTCCACGCTGTAATTACCTCTCGTGGAGGCTCTACCAACTATTGATTTTGAATAAAGTTAGTTTGTCTTTTCTATCACAGGTGTCCCAATACTTATTGGATATCACAGTGTATTTTGGTTGCTAGTTTATCAGTTCATTGCATGAAAGCATTTTACGTTTATTTGTCTAAACCATACATGTCTAGCACCATTGCTTAAGGAAACTAACGCGTAAACATAAGCATGTTTAAAAACCTCCACGTAACTCAAAACTAACTAGAAGTATTTCGCAGTTTAGCAGTTCCATGCAGTCCCTGCTACCATTTGAACCATAAAGGAGCGCTTCAGATGTATTTTGTTTGCTAAAGTTTGCTTTTAATGTCTGACCAATCGGCTAAGCAAGCGACTTATCGTGAGATTTAATCTTGTCTGCTACGAAGTCGTAATTGGAAACATGCGGCTTGGAAGAAAACTGTGGTTGAATGAAATGCTGAATATCTTGTTCGTCGAAGGCCAAGCGGACAAACAGATCTTTCCTAAGTGTTCTTCAATGAAATAAGTGTAGGCACTTTCAAACCGGATTATTAACTTGCTCAGATTTTGACAGATCAAGGGAATTTTGGAACTTGCTTCGTTTCAATATTGTTACTAGTGTATTCGGTGCTTGCAGAAATGCTGTAGAAGATGTGAAACATATTTAATTGCATTGTAGGTTGCACGAGACTGCCAGAAGTGCATTTAAAGTGAGTTTAGGTTAGCTGTCTATTTGCCGGTCTCCTGTTTTTTATGATTTGGTTAGGAGTTCAAGCACTTTGCTGGCTTGCGCGACTTTGTGTTCCTTGAGCTTTTAGTATTATTACTTAATATGATCGGATTTTTATCTTTTATGTGTCATTGTATTACTTTGAGCATTGTCTGTGTATGATTACATTATATACTGATGTTTTGTACTGTTGATGTATTATTTTTCCTTTGTATCTCTACTATTTAAGTATTATTTCATTTTTATTCTTATTGTATTATCTTAAGTTGGCGTATTTTCTTTTATAGGGGTATTAACATCGGTTAATTATTCATGGTATATTTTAGTATTTTTATTATAATGGTATTTGTATTTAATGTTTTTTTCCTTTGCTCTCTCCAGGCCTCGATTTTATGTTTTTATTGTTGAATTTCTTGTATTGTCAGTTATTTACTTCCATCTGTACGCATCGTGGAATACTTCGTTGAACACGAGGAGCTTTGTATTTGTTTTCTTAATTAGAAAAATTGCATAATGCTGATTAATAGATTCTATTTAAAAATTTGACTAAGATCACAATACTAATTCAGAGGTCAAACAACAAAAATCAGCGTTATATTTTCAAAATTTTCAAAACCGCAACGGTTTTGCAGCTGAGGATGGTGGTTCGGCAAAACCATCGAAACCAGTCCTGTGAAAATGTTGAAAATATAACGCTGATTTTTGTTGTTTGACCTCTGAATTAGTATTTGTTCGCCGTGTTATTGTGTCTTAATTAAGATCACAATGTTTACAAATATACGTGAATATACGTGGGCTAACTAAACCACGAATAATAATCTGCTACACTTAGTTTAAGGCTCTGGAAGCAAATACTAGAAGAAAGGACTTACCGGACAAATTATTTTACAAACGTTATTAAATAAAATATGTTTGCCACTAATTTCATTGTGTATTACTGGTAGAATAGATATTCTCCAGATATGCATTTTTTGTTATGTTAGACATCACCATTACTTAAATTTCGATCGACCATTTTGCCTGAAATGTTTAGACATTCGATATCAATATCTTATTCTTTAAACATGAAGTTAGTTTTTATGCATCTCGAAATTGTATTTTTGTTTATAATTTCTCGAAAATGAAATTTTTCAAAAAGGATTTTTTCTTATTAGGAGAAGCTCGTTGGAAGTGCATTGGACAGTCTGTTGGAGAATGGGATCCTAGTGGTCCTGACATGAAAAAATGCCGTTCTTTGAAAATCCGGAATCTGAAGGAAAAAGTAAGTTTGATATCCAGAATCGGATGCTCATGTTAATTAAATGCCTAAATGTTTTTCTTTAACCCAGAAGGGCTATTAATTTCGTTTTTGCATTTTGCATTGGTTCACGATAAATGCCGGCTCACTTTTCAAACTCTTGCCACCAAATATTACAACCCTGTATTATATTTAAATAAATTAAATAATGAAGAATCTACATAAATGTATGTATGTTTCTCGCATTGTGATAAAGCAACGGTACCTAGAGCCATCCAATTTTGAATAACGTACATTTCCACCCGAATATGGACATCCGGAAGTCCGAATTTGTTTTATTATCTATTGTTATTTATTATTTTGTTAATTAATAATTTTGTTAATTAATTTAATTTATTATTTTGTAAAACTTTAACGAATTTTTTATTAACAAACTCAACGATTTCAAAGCGAGCAATAGCAACACGGTACGGGAAAAAAGAGCATTTTTATCTCCAGTCCGCGAGACTGTGTATTGGAAATTCTAAAGGTATACTCATTTTAAAATTATTTTGCGGTATTGCTTTTGAACTGAATATTATGGTTTAAGTTCGAAGAACATGATATTTAATAAATATAGGTAACACATAAAACGTCAAAAACGCCCTCTTGTAATGTAAAATCTGAAAGCTTTCAGATTTCAGATGGAAGGCAACCTTCTGTATGGAATTTTCCGGCCTTAGACCCTGACTGCCATACAGAAGGGCCTGAGTTCGAAACCCGGAGAAAACATGGACTTAAATTGTCTGCCCCTTCATAGAAGACAACGGTGGCCCACCGGTCAGGTGTTTCCGTAATAAAGTGACCACAGTTCCCAGACTTAGTACTGGCCTACACTTATTATGGCTGGTGCCTGTCATTGGATGAAAATTAGTGATTTCTCCATTTCTGTTCTATGGACGGTGAAAACTCACATTTGCATACAACGCATGGGTGTTTCATTCTATTGTTGGCAGCACAGTATCTTTGAGAGTAGGGATAAAAAGTAGAGTTTCCAAGTAATCAAAATTTGTCTACGCAGAGAGTGTTTATTGAAGGTTCATAAAGCTTTTGTTAAATGTTAAGCTTTTATCTGGTAACGAATGGTTTTGTGTATTACTTGTGTTAAAAATTTTGTTAATATTTTTTATAAATGTTCTTGAAATATATGCTTTCAATGACCACTGAGATTTTTGGAGTTTCTGGATCAGATTAACGATATACAGTATTCAACTGTTCAACAGCACTTTTCAACAAATCTAACGCATTCTATTTTAAAAGCAAAATTTTTAGCCTCTTTGCATAAACAGTTATTCCAGAACTGAAGTTTAAAAATTAGAAAGCAATTGAAATTACACCTGAGTTTACACGAAAAAATACCTTTTTATCGTACCTTAATACAAAGGTATTCTTACAGCAATTGCACCACAGCTAACGATGTGGATAAAAGTATTGAACTACTATAATACATCTCAAAAAGTATTTCATATTTAATTAATTAAGTTATACTTATGATTTACGTACAGAATTGATAAACAAAATTGATTTATTAATTTTTGTACTAATATTCCGGATATAGTGGTATAATATTTTCTGTTGCAAATATGGAACCGATAATTACTGTAGTAAAACCTACAAGTATTTCGATGGAATAAGAATGTAGTCCAGAATGAATACCCAAAACATATTTTGGATTAACAACGTAGTGCATTTAGGATTATGTCTTAGTGTATAAGCTTTCAGTTATGGAATACTGCCGCCCAGACGACTATACTAAGATGGCTCGCCATCTTAGTATAGTCGTCTGGGCTCGCCATCTTAGTGTATTAGCTTTCTGTTGTGCAATATTATCCTGATAAATAGTGGTGTGGTTTGATGCCGCTGAGGGTAGAATATATGTCGCTATGCTTGAGATTTGTGTTCCCCTACATCGAAAGTATGAAAGATTCAGGTAAGAATCTGAATCTTTCATACTAAATGAATTGCATTTCGCTGAATACTAATCTGCTCGAAAAACGGATGTAAGTTCTGAGACAAAACTTATTTATCTAATTACTGCAAAAAATCCAGAATGCAAAAATAAATAAATTAAATTAAATAAATATGATTTTAAGTTATTTATTGGAAGGAGTGAAACATATCGCAATGAAACTTGAAAGGTTATATGGGTTCAGGTATGAAGTTTTTCCCAGTACTCAAGTTACGTGATTTTTGTCAGTTATGTGATTCAACTGACAAAATAACCTCCATATTTCCTCTCAGTATCTTTCACGGCACCTCTTATTATTATTGAAACTGTATGTATATTCTTTTTGATATAATTCATTATTGCACTGCATATTACTATGTACCATTTATTGCAAAATAAATTAACAAAAAACCCAGTGATAATTTCGGCGCTTGCAAAAGATAAGTTGTGCTAAATAAACGACTTTTTTAAAGTGATAATTACTGATGATGATATTGTTTCAGTTTAATACATCTTCGGCATCAGAGATGATCATTTCTTTGAAAGAAGTTTTCGAAGAAGAACTTTTTGGAGAAGATCTTGTTGATGTAATAAGCATGATGACAAGAACACCAGATCGATTGTTTGATGAAACTGAATCTCATCCTCCTGATAAACGATGGACTACGACTAAAGAATCCATCGAGATGTCGACATCAATCTTTAGTCAGATTATTGAACTAAACACAACCTGGTACGATATAGCGGAGGTAAATATTTTGCAAATTACTACACTTGCTTGAGAATACTGATGTCGTTGAAAGCTAAAATCTAAATATTAACTAAACGATATGTTCTTAAATGATATTCCTTCTCATTTATCCTTATAACATTCACTTCTATTTTAGAATGTTTCGTTATTTATAACTAATCCTCCTTTAAGTCACATTACAGAATTATACTTTTATTAAAATTTGGAAATTTAAGAAAAATACTCTAATTTAACAAAGATTAAGCAGAAAAGATGCAATTTTGTACTTAAAGAACTTCTCAAAAGTATCCTCTGCTAAATAATGTCTTACGTAAGTAATTAATAAATTTTCCAATTTTATACGAAAATCCCAAACGAGTTAAACATCGTACATTTCAATAGTAATAAAGCAATAAGATGAACGCTAGTGTGGAATTAGTGAAAAATTTCTTATCATTCAACTAATTCCAGAAAGTAAATCACTGAACTGCAACTGTCGTATCAGAATCTGCACTATAGACATTTCATTTATGTTGCCTTATATCCTCGGCTACCATGTTATAAAAGTAAACAGTGATATTTTGCGCATGAGCAGTTATAAATTCTCTTTAAATTATCAAATTGTACATCTAATTTTCTTAAGATACTCATTGTTTTCATTACAAATTTCAATTTAATGTTTATCCTGAACATGCATCACATTTTCTGTAAGTTTAATTATAAGCAAAAAGCATAAAAATTTGGAATTTTTAAAAAGAAACCTTTATACATCGTTACGTTTCTACATACCTTTATACATCATTTATACGTAACTTTATATATCGAACGTGATATTTTCACCAAAACAAATAACAACATTTCACACAGCATGCAAAATATTTTGTGAAAGTTACAGTCATTTCCTAATGTTTATGATACAGAGTGATCAAAACTAATTTTTAATCATTGTTTTGTTGAACCCCTAAATTCTTCAATAAGTTTTCATTGAAAACCCCTAAATTCTTCAATAAATATTCATTGAAAACCCTTAAATTCTTCAATAAATTTTCATTGAAAACCCCTAAATTGTTTAATAAATTTTCATTGAAAAGGTAAGTATGCCATTTACAAGGACACTGTTACAGAACACTTTATCAAGGATTTCTCTAGAAATTCGTAAAAATATCTGAAATCTAAAATGTTCCGTGGCATTTGGCTTTATTATGTATTTTTGATATAAAGGAATTTCTGAATAATAGGAGTTTTTTTAAAAAATGCATGTGAATGAATGCCATACATGATTAAGAAAATAAATTGTAAGACCAATGAAGAGAAAGTCACGTATTTTCTCAAAACATTTTTAATTAACACCAATCCCTTTTAACCCTATTTTATTTTAGAGTATTATCTTGATGTTACACAGTAATTCGTCGTTAGATCGAAGATGGTAGCTGAGACGACTTAAATTTAAGTAAATATTTCCTTAGACGAAATTTGAAAGCATGAAAGGTTATACTGTACTGTTGATTTTCTTCAGAAAACAGAAATTAATTTTCAATTAATGAAAATTTTAAAATGAATATGATTAATTTTAATATGAATTGAATTAAAACTTATGTCAGTTGTGCATAATAAAAGATTGTTAATACTCAATAGTCTTATCTATTATTTATATTTAATTTACATCATATTTATAAAAGTTAAGATATTTTTGTGACGAGAAAATCTTTAAAGACTGAAAGAAATCTTACGCTGAAGTCTGAATCGAGATAAATCTATTAATATAGTCTGGAGCATTCCTGTAATTAGGCATTAATTTCTAAAATTTGAAATGCCAGATCCCTATGGAAAAAAATGGCTCTATGGAATAAAAATTTCCCCCATTTTGGTTTTTAACTTGTTCAAAGCTTTCTTAACCAGATGGATAGCGCCTATAAATATTCCTTTTCCTGAAGAGATAACATTTAGAAAAGGGGAAGAATTTGTTCCTCGGAAGCTCATGTTTTTCAGCGTATTTTGTTCTTTTGAAGGAAAGTAAGCCATATATTTAATAATAAGTTAATGCCAGCTTTATTGACTCTATAAGAAATATCGCATTAGTCATAGAATTTTCTATTCAAATTTGAAAAGAACTTTTTATTTATGAGTTATATAATAAAAGTACTGGCGTTCATCTTATTTGGAGCTCCAGTGCGCTTCACCTAGATTATTTCTAACAACGGATCATCTACGATGCAAGTAATAGCACGATAATTATTCCAGGTGAAGCCTGCATATAGGAAAATATTAAGCATCACATAGAATACTGATATCGCTAAAATTTCTAAGTATAAAAGCCGGAGTTGCATATAAGCATTCTATACCTCGCCACGCGCTTAGGGAAAACTCCGTGCTTGTGATTGGACATACTTTCCGATGACATCATTTTCTCTTGGCATATTGACGTTTAGGAGGGATTCTTACGGTTTTGTTTTTGTTGAATGACGCGCATGTATAACACGGAAATGTTAAAATTATCGTTTGTTTTCTTTTAATAATTATGCCAGACGAAACGATTTACTTGCAGCGTTCTGCAGATGGCTTCCTGTTTATGAAATAATGAAATTATAAAATCTTTAAAGATGCTGTTAATACCATACGCAAACTTAAGCGCTTAGATTATATAAATAGCAAGTTCTAGAATTTAGTACAAAAACCAACACACATTGGATTACCCGACGATTTTGAGCCTACTGTAAAGGTAAATTATTATTGTAAACTATTATGGTATGTAAATTATTATTGTAATTTTGTTGCGTTCGTTTCCTTTCACATTGCAAAAAATATGTCCTTTGAAACTGCATATGTTTTTCCATGTTAATGTCCAAGTCTTTCCCATTTCTAATATTCTGTTGCCTTCAATGAAGTAAAAAAGAGAATTCAGTATTGTCGCTAAATTTAATACACGTATATAAGGAAAGGAACTTCCTTTTCTGATAAGCGCTATTTTTACACATAAGTACGAAAGATATTACACATTAAAAATGAGCAATATTCATAAAGTAATATTATTCAATTTAAACAATACGCGTCTTCATTTATGTAATCCAAATATAGTAGTTTAACTTAAATAGAAATAACATTTTGACAACTTTTTGACATTAAAATAAATTTTGCTCTTTCTGATTGACTATAAATATAGTGAATTTACTGTTAAAATATAGTGAATTTAAAATATAGTGACTGGCAAAAATGTTGTTAACTCACAACATTTTTGCCATCTGCGAAAACTGACTTGTCTCATATTTTCGGAGATTGCATTTGCCGAAAATGGATATATAATGAACGTGAAATAATGAATTAATCACCACACACCTTTACTATGAACGGTTTTAAATTAAGAATAGAATACATTTATTAAATATCTCTGCATCTAATACTAATACACATTTACAGTAATACTTTTTGCCTCTGGGGGAAAAATTTCCTACAATTTTTAAGTTCACCACACTACAATGCCGTAAGGAGTGTAATCTCATGGCACCAAAAATACAGCGCACGTCATTAAAGTAATAACCTTTTCGATACTGCTATCAAATAAGCAAATGGTATGGAGGTATACTGTCGAGTCTAAGCAAAGGCTTCCTAAGCGTAGTCCCCCCGCGGGGGTCGACGTAGAGTACTCTGCGCAGTACTGGCTAGGATCTGTACCTAGGCAGTCTCGGCCACGGGGGTATAAAATTCCTGAACTTGACGGTTCCCGATGGTCCATGAAGTAAGTTCATACTTGCTTTTCATGGGCCGGGAGGTGTTAGTCCCCTCCACCAGGGTATTGGTAGCCAAATAGCAAACTGGACCATTGAGAGTCTGGTCACTGATGTCCTTGGTATTCCATGTAAAGCCTAAGGAGAGGGGATCCCGTGTAGTGCTGGCAGATAGCCTAAATCAACGGCCAGTCATCGTCCCTAAGTTGTCATTGCCCACCCCACCGTGGTCTCGGTCCAGCAGGGACGGTGGTCTTGACTGGTCCGTGTTTAGCGGTGGGCTAGCTGATCGTTGAGCGATCAGCGGAGGGAGTTCTAAATTTGTTGGTGTCTCGGGGATGTGAGACCCCGGGCCCAGCAGGAGTGTTCAAGTCATCTTTGGGAGACTCTTTCTGGTATTTATACCAATTCCCGGAATGTGATTGAGTTCACGACCCGCGGTATAAACCTAGTTAGTTAGTTCCTAAGCGTAGAGGAAATGATCTCATCGGAAGCCATACCCAATCCCGATGACGTATTTTTCCCTATGCACGTGGTGCTGTACAGAATGCTTATATGCAGCCGGGGTTCTAGTAGACTCCCCTCCGAATTTAATGTGTTCAAAGTATTTAATTGGTTTTTCTTTACTGATTGTTCGCATTCGTTACTTACACGAATCAAATCTGTCATTTCAAAAACAAGAAATATGCCTCCCTAGGCCCACCAGCGGTCAAGCGGTAAAAGCCGCTGAACACTTGTAATTCGGTCTGGGCTTCGAGCCCCGGCGAACGAGCTGACTGCATGGGTATTTTCGTGGTTTTCCCCATGTGCGACGTGGCTACGAGAGTTTCCCTTAAAAAATCCTCCACGGGACATCCTCTATTGCAGTGTAGTGCCTAACTACGAAGCGCGTAATAAGTAAATAAAAAAAATTCCCTCCCTACACTGTAGACTAAGTTCAATCGCTAACTCTGGATGCAAAAATTCGATAAGAACGTCGAACATAGAGTAGCTCACATTTGTTTTCGGATTTTTTAAAAAATTCATTTACATAGATCTTGTACTAAATATTGATAAACAAATTCCTCATGACTTCCTTCTACGAAGTAAAAAGGAAGTATTGCAATCGCGAAAAATTTCGGGTATCATATTTCATTGAAAATATCCATTTTGACCGCTATCGAATGCAGTTTAACAATGTTTTTGCGTGCCGTCTGTACGTAAGGACAGAATAAAGGATACTTTTGCTCCAAAACAATTTATAAAACTGATTAAAAATGGATTTTGAAGACATGCTGCTAAGCCTTTTTTTGGGGGC